TCAGCTACGGATACATCTTTCAGCTGGAAAAGGCAGTTCAGGGGCAGCTGAATCAACCTGTACACTTAGCCACTGACCTCAGAGAACAGGGCTACTACTAATAGAGCAGCAGGTGTAACAGTGAAACTGTTCCCACTTTTATGGCCTAATGCAGAGAACGCCATCCTCCCTCCCAGCTTCTACAGACCATATCTTCACTGGCTATTTAATCCTGACTAATCCTGGACTCAAGCCATAGTCTTTTGGGTAGATGAGATGGAAAGCTGAAGTACACACTGCAAGAAAAAGGAAAACATAATTTGAAAAGTAGATGCTTTTACTCCTCTATCTGATGCAAACCAGATAATTGGAATGCTAACTAAATGGAAATATTTGCTTCTAAAAAGAGCAAATTATTGAAAATTATTGCTATTTACCAAAGTATAAAGATGTGCACTTCCTCTCTTTTCCCCTCCTCAGATAGATTTTTGCTGACAGAAAAAAAAAGACACAGGAAAGCTAAACTTCTAAAAAACTGAATAAAGCTATCATAAAAGCTTCACTAGCAAAGTCTTTCAACAGAATTAGAGAGTGCTGGATATCTACACCACGTATTTACCCCATATAAGCACCATATATTTTACCCTCCAAGATTAATGCATTTCTATTAGTTATCAAAACATTAAACCTCTGTAGCTGCAAAATACCAGCCTTAATAATAATGTTGTAATTTGTGCTTTAAGTAATTTATTTCCCATAAAGCTAAAGATCAAAGATTTGACAGCCCACCAAACTCGAGAGTTTAGGATTAAATTGCTGCAAGTAGCTTGCAAAAAGTTATCTAAAGCAGGGAAGTACTAGGCCTCAGCTCTTCCTGTAAGTTGTTCCGCCTTTATTTTTAGTTTTCAATTGTCAATATTTTTTTCCCCTTTTGTAAAGGAAGTGTGAAGAACTGCCAGTACTTGAAGCTAAATTGCTTTATTTACAGGTCCAGTATGGTACAAACACAACTGATGATGCTATGCAGCATTTGGACTAGTTCAGCTCCTACTACTAGCATGACCTCCAAGAAACAGGATAAATTCTAATCTTAGACTTAGTCACTGAAGTTGCCACAGGTTTGTTGATCTCACATTACCTTAAAAAACTGCCTGAGAACTTGGCACCTTGGGGAAGGTACAAGCCACTTTTCCTGGTTTGAGCCCAGAGGGCAGCTGAGCACCACCACATCCTGCCATCTCACCATGGGATACAGGGGTCTCTGCTCTCGCCCACCTCCCCACCTTCCTCCTCCTTCCTCCCACTGACCTGGGTGTTCACATCGGTGTCCTTCTCGTAACTCCTCCTCACAAGTCCCAACCCCCTCTCAGGTTGCCCTTCTTAAATACGTTATCACAGAGGCACAGCCACCATGACTGATTTGCTTGGCCTTGATGGAGAGGTGGTTCTGACTTTCAGCTGGGGGAGCTTTTGAGAAGCTTCTCACAGGAGCCACATCGCTGCAGCCCTCTCCCCTGCTACCAAAACCCCACCACACAAACTCAGCACACCAGATTAAACTTCTAATGCTAGTTCCAGGTCAAATTTTTAGGGAGTCACTTTGTGGTGTAGAACAGCATTCCCTGCAAAAATAGCACAGTAACAGAGAAGGGGATTAATTTGGCCCTGGTAAATTAGAAAAGCCATCTTATTTCACCTGAACACCATAAAGACTTCAACACAAGTCCTACCTATGCAAAAAAAAGCAATTCATAGATTAAATCTATGACCTGTGTTTCATGAACATTAGACTATAGCAGATATATTAGTACCATGCTTGATCCCTGTCCTGAGCTACTGCTTGTAGAAAAAACCCGAAGGAACCCCTTATTTTGAAACTGTTAAATAAAGGAGAGGGAAAGGTGCTATGAACAAAACCAAAACTTAGTATTTAAACAGGAAATACTCCTTGGCTGTATTTAATGGTTTCATTAAAGCTACAGTATTACACAAAGTCAACACTTGATGAAGGAGAATACCAGAGCTGAAGGCTCTACTGGACACATCTCTGGTAGATGATGACAAAAGCTGAAGTGTTTAGAATTTTCTTACATGTAATCATAGAGGTGACATCTGTTCTACCAATTCTGTAAGCATGTGACTACCTCAAATAGACCTAAAACTTGACTTTAAAATACCAGGTCCTGCTAAGCAGCACTCCTAATGTATCTGTACGGGTCACAAAGGCACCTCCAGACAGCAAAAAACAGTTAGACCATACTGACCTCTTGGCTGTAGCAGCTGAACTGTAGCAGATCTGAACAAGCAGTGAGACCTTTTCAACAAAACCGCCTGCCTGCCTGCAAAAGCTCTCTACAGATTTTTTTGATATAAGACATAGTTACAGGTTTAGAGAACTATTACCTTTAAGGCTTATCTTTTGAGACTGATGATGCATAGTCTGGAAGAAAGGCACATACACCTGCTCTAAAATTCTGCAGTTCCAGTAAACCTGAAAAAGTTGAATGTGATTGAATTGTGTTATTGTAAGCCTACTAAATTACAGTTGCTGTTGTAAAAAAAAATCAACCTTTTCCCCTCCCAAATCATTAAGTGAAAGCCCCTGTATTAACAGTTGCAGCTAATACTGTAAACTCTGCAGAGGGAATGGAACAATAACTCCTGTCTTTTTAACATTATTTACTATTGATATAAATTAAGGAAAATAAAAATATGTATGAGCACAAAGCTAGCAGTATCAAGAACAGATTCACACACAGAGCGAAATGAAAATGGAACCGGAAGCTGGGGAGATGACTGGGTACAGGAACATGAACTAAGAGGTAAGCATGGAATAAGGGGAAGAGGAACGGCCACTACCACCAACTAGCACAGAGAAGCCTTTAATGACCAGCTGCTCATTAAGCAGGTTTGTGAGTCTTTCAAGGTTGGAAAGTTAATTTGCAGAAAGCAAACACCTACTGCCCCCACATAGTGACAACGCTGAGATACTTTTAGGCTCAATTTCTTACTTGGATTCCTATTTATCCTGGTCTGGACAGCCCCTCGACTCCTGTTTATGATCACATTGAAACAAGAGCAATAAATAGGCCTGTCAGTCTCTTACATTAGTAGTCTTTTGCCTATTAGCTCGGTTTTACTCATCTCAGCACTGCAAAGTTCAGTTTGTCTTTGCTGCCCAGGAATGCACAAGGACAGCAGGAACATGGGATGTTAATGCACAGACCATAAACATACTGCACAGGAGTGTACGGATAATTGTTCTGAAGGCCATTAAATTCCACCAACTTTTTTCTTATCATGTCCTTTATTTTCAGAAGTTGAGTGTGTTATTCAGGTGACTCACTCTGTATTTTTATTATGAGTATTCAAGATGTAAGTAAGAAGAAGCACACAAATGGCTGTTGAATCCCAAGCCTGATCCTGTAAGTTGACACTTCCACACTACCCTTCTATTAACGTGTTAATTCTTGTTAAAAATAAAAACCTAACACATGTGACAGCAGAACAAAGCAATAGTCACATTAAAGTATTTTCTCCATGTACTGTTTTTTCAAACATCATACTAAAGACTGCCACCTACTGTTGGCATCACAAAGTATTTTAGTACATATTTTGCATGGTAACAAGCAATACTATTCTACATCACTACCAAAAGACTGAAGACCTACCAAGCCTCAGTTCCACGAAATCAATCTGAAGAATAAAATCACTAATACATTACTTCCATAGCCTAAAGCAATGGGTCTATGAGAGATGAATTCCCTCCAATTCCAGTGTACCATGGGATACAGACCTTAACAGCTGTACAATTTGTCATTCTTGCCAGACCCCTGTTTAATTATTTCTGTTGATTACTAAATCAGTCACTTTGCTTGAGGTGATGTTGGTTTTTTTTCTCTTTACATCTGCAACTACCTTCTATTTTCTCTCCCTAGCATACCTCTCTCTTATGCTCCCTATTGGAAAAAAAAGGTAAGGCTGCAGAGGGATGGGAAACCAGACATTGAATATACCTTGTTCTCAGGTATAAAGTAAACAACACAAGAGGCCTAGAACAGCAAGTCTCCTACAGAAGAGACAATTATTTTGTAGTGGAGCCACCAGACTGCAACAAATAGCAAGAACTCCACGCATTTTGTTCTATCTCCCATGATTTCCCTGCTGCCTTCTAGCTACAACGCAGGGACTATGGGTGCAACTGAAAGAGGGTTACTGACAATGTATTTTCTGCTGGCTGCCTTGACCACAGAAGCCAGAGGCAACAGTTTTAAAGAAAGGAGAACTTACCACACTGACATACGGTGTGAGAAAAAGAAACTGGATGCAGGCACTAATATTCCATTTTATGCAGGCAGTGAAGCCATGTCAGAACCCACTGGGATATGCAATATTGACATCTTAGAGGCTTATTAAAAGTAAACAGGATCACTGGGACCTGAAATAGAGCTGAGAGGTACCACTGGGCTGCCTCACTCCTGCATGAGGTATTTAAATCCTAGTATGGTGCCTGTTATCAATTTCACATAGAGAAGATTCTATGTATCACTGTAGTTGTCTCTGGTTCCAATGGAAATGGAAGTGAAAAGATCATTGTGATGAATTCCACAAGAAGCAAATAAGTCTTGTTTAAAAAAATTGAAGTGATAAGGGCTTAGTAAATAAACTTACCATAAATTCACCCTAGAGGCAAGTCAGATCACTTGCAACTAAGCAACAAGCCTCCCTTCTTTGGAAAATGCCTTAGTAAGTCACTCTATAGTCACATGATAAAACAAAAACCTTAAGTTCACAAACAACATCCTTAGGTTAGGTTGTAGCTGGGTTGTCTTGATCAGCTGTTACCTAAGAACTCAAACACTGCTATTTCTGTTTGTTCAAAGGCATGGGGGTAGAAGAAAAACACTATACACAGTATCCCATCTGTAAAACCTCAATAAATTATTCAGATAAACCTAAAGAACTCTCTCAAACATCACAGTATATTAGTGTACAATTAATGACAACTTCAGAAATCATGCTTTGGTTCAAAGCATAAATTTAATGGTGTATGTGCCACAACACAGTTTTTCATTACTTCAAAGCAGCGATATGATTGACAATAAACTTAAACCCAAATATTATTAGGATTATGAACTGCATTTAGCTTGTATTTAGTTTTTAAAAACTCTGGATTGATAGGAAACAATCTGTCTGACAACTGTCATAATTACAAACATTCCTGGCTGAAATGGCACAATTCAGCAATTCTCTTATTTTTAAGACAACTGTGCATCTTGACTTTCCATGGAAGTATCAGTATCTTCCATTGAAGATGCGCATGATGGTATCACAGCACACAATAAAATCGGTGACTTGGGTTTAGTCTCTGTTTTCATGATAACAATATTTAACTGGTTTTAAAATTTAGCTTTAAAACAGGTATCTACTACTGCTTTTCAGAGATCTCATTACAGCATATTAACCTTCTGGGGAGAGGGGCATATTTTCCTCAGGATTCATGCTGTTTTGTTGGTTTATCCAAGTAAGGAGTGTTGTCTTGTAGCAGATCTTTCCTGGGTATGAGCACTGTAATAGCAAAAAAAACCCTGTAAGAATATAATCTTATGGAAAATAAAGTAAAACTCTAAACAAAAAAAACAGTTTACTAAAAAAAAAAAAAAACCCAACAGATTACCAAAATGAGAATCTAAACTCCAAAATGAGAATCTAAACTTCTGGTGAGCTTACAATCAGCATCATGATATCTACCCAACACAAAATTATACTAAGATTCTTACCTTCTGTTGGTCAGAATATTGCCTTCCCATTTTTCCTTTTAAAAACACTGACAATATTTTAATAGCATTTAGAATCCATAAAAAATGGTAAAGTGTTACAGTAACTTTTAACAAGAGAGAAGATGGAAATATTATCATGCTTCAATCAGACTGTTTACTTCAACAATTCCAAAAATGAATACTTGATTTGATTTAGCACTCTCTACCAACATCCTGGAATCTGATCTGTAACATTCATCTTGTCATACCTGTTCTAAAGGCCAACAGGAAAAGCAAGCATCAAATGAAAATTATGGTCACTATATTGTCACAGAAGTGCACTGTGTCTAACCACACACCATTTTAACCTCTTCTTGACTCTAAATTCTTGCCATCTAGCCCTTCAGAAATCAGCTTGTTCTTTCTTCATGAAAGGAAGGAGCTGTGTCATGTTGGATTTGCTCCAGCAGCAAAAACTAAAGCACAAACACCTGAAATCATAATGCTGTACTTTGACTAGGTCAGACAGCTGTGAAAGGTAGAGTAAACCTGTAAAACTGTGTGTATTTGCATGCAGGTATGTGTAATGAGTAATGTTCTGCCCAAAGTGCACTGATACCCTGTATCTTATAAGCAAACTATTTCCTCGAAGGTATGTTCCTTTTGCATCTATGTACTGATAATGATGCATTTAGTAAGTTTCTAAGAGCCTTAAGTAAAATTTTAATTGCATTTCTCTTGCATAAAATACTTGTAATTTTATGACAAAACATGTTGATCTACGCACCTAGAATAGTTACATTAAATAGAAATACTAAAGAAAAACAGAACTTGATCTAAAGTAATGAAAAACAAAAGTCCAAACAAAGATTGAAAGAATAATTTTTAAACTTCCTTTTCAAAGCTAAGTTTTGAATATACACTGTCAACATACCAAATCAAAATCATCGGAACACACTGCATGTGTGGTATATTACTAAAACATAAACTCTACTTGGATCAGCTTAATCTGAAATTAAGGTGAAATTAATAGAACAGAGTCATTTGTATACTATTGAGTAACGTAACCCAGACTGAAACATTAAAAAAAAAAAAAATCAGAAAAATTGTCTAACAAGCTCCTAATTGCAATCGTCTTCTCTTTAGTAGGAAAATCTCAGCTTGATTTTTCTTTTTTTACCAGTGAATCTCAACATGACTATACAGCACTGCATCTCAAATTCTTTTTAAAGCATAACATTGCCCTGTGCACTGCTTCTATGACAGCACAGAATAATTTAATTTGATGACAGAAAATGTTCCCCTTACCAATATTTGCTCTCACTGTCTAAGACAAGTCTTTGGGTTTTTCTTTTCAGTTATTTGTTATTGTAAAGATGCAGGATCGCAAAAAAAAAAAAACACCAAAAACCACACCAAGTGTAGCTAAACTGTGCATTGTCAGCTATAATATGAAAAGGCAGAGTCAAAAGATTCTGACAGTAACTCAAGGAAACCAGCTGCAGAAACAGGTTTCTGAAATACTCTACTTAGTTTCTTCCCCCCTTGCCTCCAGCTCTTCTTTCATAAAACAGCAACTTATCACTTCAATCTTTTTTTGGGCGGAAGGTGTGATGGCTTGGGATGAAGCAAGAACTTAGTAATAATTTAAATACAGCCCATTAAGTATTTTACAACATTTTATTTTTTTTTCAAATAGGCAATATACTTTCTATTACAAGAAAGTAAACCTTCATCTACAAAGTTTCTAAAACAAACATGTAACACTTAAGATGAAGCGCTATGAAAAGTAAACTTTTCAACTGAGGTTGCATATTTATATTTGCCAATGAACAGTAACTCAAGAAGCCACCTTAGGGCTACACTTCTACCTCCCCTTTTTTTTAAAAAATAAATCGGTTCCAAGCCTCTTATTTAATACAAGATGATACCATAAAAGCAACAAGGGAGCCAACTAATTCTACTGGCACTATAATTACCACAGAGCATAAAGATTAAGAATCAAAAAAGTTGATTTTGTTCTGCTAAAACTTCTTTAATCAGTTGTACTTGAATTGCATACCCATTCAATGTGTTACCTAAGCAGACTCATATACCTACACAGGCATTTCCTACAACAAACTTCCTGTCAGAAACTTGCTCCCAGAGCCAAAAAGAACAAGGAAGTGAGAAGATCCACTTGGTATTTTTATCACATACATGCACAACACGTTTGAAGGAGACACAGCTGGGACAGCTGACCCAAACTGACCAAGGGGATATTCCGTATCATTGGACATTGTGCTCAGCAATAAAAGCTGGGAGAAGAAGGAAGGAGGGATGTTCGGAGTTATGGTGTTTGTCCTCCTAAGTAGCCATTACACGTGATGAAGCCCCACTTTCCTGGATATGGTTCTAAACACCTGCGGGCCGACAGGAAGTACTGAGTGAATTCTTTACGCTGCTTTGCTTGCATGCACGGCTTTCACTTTACCTATTAAACTTTTTTTATCTCAACTCATGAGTTTTCTTACTTTTACCCTTCCGATTCTCACCCCCATCCCACTGGAGGAGAGTGAGCACATGGCTGTGTGGGGTTTAGCAGCTGGCGGGAGTTAAGCCATGACAATACCTACCCATAGATTCAACTGGAAGTTGAAGTCCCACTTCCAACTTTTTTTCCTCTTTTTAATCTCTGACAACTTTTCTTTACAGAGAAGAAAGGATGGAAACAGTAGGGTAAGATATTCAACAAAATGGAGCAGCAGTGGAAACCACATGCATTTATAGGTACAATTTCACACAGTACACTGATAACGATATTCAGCATAAACTACTATCAAAACATGGTGACAATTATCTCAACTCCCTAAAAATTCTGAATTTCTAGTTTCAGGAATTTTCTAATGGCATATTTTGTGCTACCAGTTACATTAATAGTGTAACAAGAGCTATCCCAGAATTGCCTAGTCCAGAGTGCTATCTGACTAATCAAAGCTGGATTCTTACAAAAGATACAAACACACTAGAAGCCTGCTCAAAGAATGGCACTTAAGAATAATGTTCTCCTACTTATCAATTTACCATGGTATAAAAGTCTGTATACTCTTTCTGTAAGGAGATCTGCTTTTACCCTTTCACTAGAGGATCAAGGTAAGCATCAATTTTGATCTGCTTTTTTGTATTTTGAATAATAAGTTGCTCCTGGCCACAGAGACTTTTCCATTGCCATGACCTTTGAGAATTATTTACTGTGTAAAATAAAAATGCTCCTTTTTTTAATATTAGCTTTGAATGTAAATTTCAACTTTGCTGAATGCTCTTTACATTTTAATTATATCAGGACAAGCAAGAGTATCTATCCATTCTATATATTTTTAAATACTGTTTATTCTTATTCTGTGAACTTCTATCATGAAGTCCTGGATTTCTTTTCTAAGCAATTCGGATCTTTTAATTGGTGATTCACATTGTCAAGACTAAATATTTCCCACTTCAATACATATTTCAAACACATACAAAACAAACAACTCTTGAACTTATTTTGTTCTTACTGCAGTAAGATCAATTACAGAGTGAGAAGCAAAGCTTAGACCTATCCTAAATAAATATCGGAAAAAGAAAAAAAAAAAAGAAAAAGAATGGGCAAAAGACTGCATAGTTGACATCCTCTGCATTCATAAGCAGGTCAAATGCTCCCCGTGTACAGATGTACTCCAGATTTTTGCTGCGGGACAGTTTGCCCATCCAGTACCAGACTCTGGAAGATCTTCTTCCACACAAACCTCATTGCTACCATTTCTCTAAGAAGTCTGTGAAATTAGGCAGGGGCAATTCTATCGCTTTTTGTTTATGGAGATTTTAAAGGAGACAGGATTAAAGCTCTGCTACAGTCCAAACAGACAGTCACTACTACTCTCTTCTTGTCCACTGAGTCATCATTTCACTGTAAAAGGGTATCAGATTGGTCAGAGAAGATCCCCTCTTCGTAAATTCATGCTGACTGCTTCCAGTCTTCATTCTGTTCTTAGAACACCTGGAAACAGCTTCCAGGATTGGCTCAACCACCTTCCCAGGGATGAAGGTGAGGCCGACCAGTTTCTCAGATCCTCCCTCTTGCCCTTCTTGAAAATAAAAGTGCCATTTGCTTTATTCCAGTCCTCCCACAACTCCCCTAAACACCATGACCTTTCAGAGATGATCTGAGAGTGGCCTCTTAATGACATCAGCCAACTCCCTCACCACTCATGGGTGCATCATATCAGGTCCCATGAATTTGTGCATGCACCATCTGCTCAAATGTTCCCTAGCCCTTTCCTCCTCCACCAAAAGTAAGTCATCCTCACTCCAGGCACTCCCAGCAGTCTGAGGCCCACGATTCCTGAAGACAAACCTCAGCAGTGAAGACTGAGGTGAAGAAGATATCGAGCACCTCAGTCTATTCCGGGTCCTTTGTTTCCAGGTCCCCTGCCCTATTCAGCTGTGGGCCCACATTCTCCCTCCTCTTCCCTCTGCTGCTGATATACCTGTAGAAGCTGTTCTTGCTGTCCTTCATGTTCCTTGCCAAGACCAACTCCAGGTGGGCTCTGGCTGTCCTAGCCTCATCCCTTCGCACTCACACAGTATTAGAATATACATTAGTATCTGAACATGAATTCAGGTGGCTTTTCCAAGGGGAGTTCTGCCTTACAGTCCCTGACGGAGTTCTCTAAACACCTCTTGGGGGCGTGCCAAAACATGCTTGGGAATTTCCAAAAGACCCTCAGCAAACACTATTAAGAAAACAACAGCCTTATTATGACAGATGGTCATACATGGATAAATCACCGATTAAACTGTAGGAAGTGAACAATAAATGAACAGGATTCCCAATGGAGGGATGTCAAAAGTGGAGTCCTACAGGTATTTTTGGTAGCATCTGCTCTGTTCAACGTATTTGTAAGTAACCTGGGAAAGTACGGGTTTTAATGATACCATTCTGAATAAGTTCTTTAAGAAAATGGCTTGCTGTGAAGAATTGCAGGGCAAACTTAAGAACTGACTGAATAATTAGTAAAATTGACAGACAGAATTACATGTAGAGACATGCAATGCACACAGGTCAAAAAAAATATTAACTTCACAAAGTGATAGGTTCAAAACTGACTACAACCATTCAGATGACTTCAGTGAATACAAGATAATTTTGTAAAAATAAATAAATACATTGACGCATAGCAACCAAGAAATAAATTTAGAATTTAGAATGACTAAGGAACCAATTGAGAATGAAAAAGAATAGATCACTGTGACATCACTGTGTGTAAAAATGTCTGGTTTGCCCACAGCTTGATGAGTGTGCTCAGCTCTGAGAGAATTCTTAATCATCTTAAGAGAGATATAGTAGAATTGAAAAGGGTGAAGAGAATAGCAACAGAATGATCACAAGCATTCACCTGTTGTTTCACAGAGAAGCTGTTCCTCAGAAGTGAAAAAGCAAAAGGGGGGAAAACTCATTAACAGCTTGGTGAAAATAGTAATTGAAGAGTAGGCCCAAATTCAAAACTACAGCAAGTAATTTTTCAAAAAAAAATCTTTGTCAAAGGTTCTTGGATGCAAGAAATTTGAATAGGTTGACAGGAACAAGTTCATGAGAGAGAAACATGCTGAGAATAACTAAAACAGAAACCATTCCCGGCTCAGGGGTTGCTGACAGCTATGAAGAGCTGTAAAATGTGAAAGCTCACTTGCTCTGTTCCTACTCTTCTACTGACATCTGCCCAGGATGACTGTGGAAGGCTGAACACTGGTCTAGACATATCTTCATCCTCAATCATAATGGCTGTTCTAAAGTTAAATGCTTTACCAAATCTAAAACTGAAAATAGTTACAAAGCTTTACAGATACCACTAAACAGAAGCAAAAGGACACAACATGCACAGCTGAAGATTTCTCCTATCCTCAACCAAACGGCTGTATACTGAACCTACTACTTGTGTTTGTCTGGAAGATAAAAGCACTTCTAAATGATGAACCAAAATTTCAGAATTTGATAGTTTTGCCATTATTGCATCACAAATCTTCTAAGACACAATCTGAAACTTAAATTATGAGAACAAGGTTTTGGAAAAGAAGGCTCAATCCTCAAAGAAAAAGCTATTTTACGGACAGCATGCATACTGCACTTGCTGCTTCTCCTCAGTCAGCTTCTATTTTGTAGAGCAAGCACCTACAGATATTGTGGCTACTACATTTAGACATACACTCACTGTCTAGTCAGTACATGCATGCTGACTTGCTACCCAATTGCTGTCATTCTTAATTAAGGTACCAAGTTATACCTTCTCTCAATAAGAGCTTTAAATGCAGTCACTACCTCTTTTCTACCAGCCTCTGTATTTCAAAATTTCTGAAACTTCTACCTGTCCTAGGTAGTGACATTAATCAACAGGCTTAAATTAAGGTTTGGGCAGAGAAACGACAGACAGACTGACTTTTGCCCTCTCTAGCCCTTAGTTTTCAAGTTTTATATTTACTTACTGAAGTACAACATTTTTAAACATCTTTTTAGCATGCAGTTTTACTCACATATTTTGTCGGAATCTGTGTGAACTGCCTGAATAACAGAAGTTCTGAGAATTACTTCAACATCTGAAGCTATCTTCAGAAGCTAAGAAAAAAAAAAAAAACAAAAAACAAGAACAAACACCACAACAGAGTAATTTAAATCATGTGTGATTATTCCTGATGGTATTTTCCATGCTAGACTGCTATTCAAATAATAAAGACGGTCAGTTCTACTATTCAGTTAGTTATCCACCACCTATACATAGCTTTTACTTTGGGGATCCTGGAATAATTTACAGGTTGATACATAAGCTACCTTGATATATAACACGAGAAGAAGTAAACTTCTGCTCAGTGACATACAGCAGTATAAAATCTGTATAGGCAATTAAAACTGCAAAATAGTAAGGAAGAATGCAGCTATCAAAATCAGTAACTAGCTTCCAATGATCAAAGACATTGGTGAATGACTCAATCAATAACATATGACTACTCCTAGGGAAAGGGCAATCTGATTCTCTTAACATTCCTGCTCTTAAAATAAGGAGACAAAAATAAGGGCAAAACATGACAAGAATTAATAATATAGAGCTTTCACAGAAAAGCAGTACAGGAACAAGGCACTACCTAAACATTAGTGGAGGCAATATAGTTGGCAGCTCACTCAGTGAGTTAACAGAATGTTCTACTCCTTTTAATGCACCACAAGTAAAGCAGAAGCAAAAACCCTCAGTAGTGTAATTAACATCTCTGTATTACAAGTCATGATCATTTGGCTGTTTTTTGCCTCCCACAAGAGATGCTGCCTCATTGGTGAACAGAAAGCAAAATAACTTCTCATGTCTGCCAGTAACTGAGCAGAATATTTAATTTCTCTGTATCTTTCTACGCTTGTCCATACAACAAAGACTAGGTAAACTTAAAAGTGTCCACAGCTCAGATAGATATTATGGGCAAAGTATACAACATATAGTAACACAAAACATTTTTTTTCCATAATTTTATTATAAGCTTCAAAATATGCATATTGAACTATCAGAAGACACCTTCTCTTTATGTATTTCTGTATGTGCAAAATTCTATAACATACAAATAATACCAATATAAGTATCAATGTATTTATAAACAGAGATCCATGTAAAAGGCTTTTTGAACTCACCTGTGTTTCCCAATGTCCCAGTAAGTACTTACAGTGGTTTAGAGATCCTTTAAGTAAAAAAATTCCTAGGTAAGTGTTGTTATGCAAAGTGGAAAAAAATAATGAAAACAAGTACCTCGTTTATCTTCTCTTCAGATGTCTCATCTTGGTTATTTTTGAATTCTTCATTTATCTTTTGCCTTGCAGCTAAATAAAGTAAATGCGAAAACTAAAGTTTGAACACAAAATTGTACCTTGTCTTTGTTGCTGCCTTGAAGCTCGGAATCCTAAGTCCTTAACACCTTCCTGGTGCCCTCTGCCTGAAGTATTTTAATATAAGACTTCCATGGAATTTATGTCATGTCATATTTTGACTAGCACAGGAATAAAATGTGATTGCCTATCTAGCATTCTGAGCTTTAAAAATAAGTAACGTACAGAAGCCACTACTAAAAGGTGGTTTACTAAAAAAGCAGTATTTATCTCCTAAGGAGCAACAGAACATAAAGAGAATCAACTCAAATGCTTAGTACAGTTAAACATGCTTTTTTAAAAAAATCCCAGGAAGATCACCAAGGTTACAAAATGAGGTGTATTCCTTATGAAATATGGCTTGAGTGCTTCTGTCTAACAACCATTTTTTTCTTCAAATTAAAGGATGTCTGGTTACAGACATATGGGTTTTCCCAATGATTATTTACAAAACGTGGAAGGGAATAATTTAAAGGAAGATTATGTTGAGAATTCTATTTCTGTGTATTCGGAGAAGGAAGTTCCACAGAAACATTGGTATGCATGCATCACAAAAAAAGAATCTCACCTTCAAGGGCTCTGGTATCATTTTTAAAAACTTCTTGCCGGGTTCTGTGTAATAATTTAAAAAGCTTCAAAACCTGACAATACAACATCAGTAGAATTAGCTTGTTTGCTAGCAGGATTTTTAGTTAAATAAACAAATTGCAATTATGAGTGTTCTGGCTGACCTTTCATGCTCTTTTCATTTAAAATAGAATTTGGTATGGAATCAGTATCTAAGGTACTTTATCAATTCCCAATCAAATAACTTTCAGCCAAAGCAGTTGTGAGGAAATCCAAATCCTACACAGTCCCAGGTATTTCAAATTAATCCAAGATACTAGAGAATACAGGCACTACATTCCTAAATAATCATTTGGCACAATGGGAATATAATCGTGAAAATACATTGACTCAAGCATATTTATTGTGCCAATATCCTGTAGACCCAACAGAATCGGAGTAACTCTAAAAGTCACCTGAAGGGACTATCAAGGGTACATCACTGGATATTCTCTGATTATGAAGGAAATATAAATGACTAAAGTATTCTCACACCTGCAGGCTAATGTCAAGTGAGAAAAGTGAATTTCAACAGGATCTCAAACTGTTTATTAACTAACTCAACAATTATTTTTCATGTCTCTATATAATACCTGGGCATAATCTTCTACAGGTGATGTGGTAAAACCAATATAAAGCAAAGTCCTTTCCTAAGTATGACTGCCAGATCAGCAAATAAAAACTCCAGTAAAAGCAAACACTCGAAAAAATTGGGTTTTACAGTGTAGAGATGACACACCTCAGTATGTACATAAAACCTCTGAAAAATCACAGCTCACGTTCATGTGGCTTTGGCTGTTTATTCATACAGACTGTAATGAATTACAGAAATCCTCAAGTCCTTATCAGATTTTTTTGGTGTTTGTCAGAGATTGACAAGAATCTCTGACAAGCACAATTTTTTTTTTTAAATCTTGATACCTTTTGAAGTTATTTCTAATACTTCCTGGTGTGTTTTGGCATCTCTAGAAGGCACAATTCCAAGTACTCTATGGTGATCCTAAATTGTTTTCTCACAATTAATATTCCAAAAATTTCTTTGGAGGACATAGAGGAAACAAACAAAGGGCTGTAAGTGAGAAATTACCATCATCTTTACAAGTATGCTCTGTATCTGTGAGCTGGAGATGTAAAGAAGGCTGTCCCCTAAAAGAACAAGAAAAACAACCTGGCAGGACCTGAAAAAAGTGTTGCCTCTGCTTAAATCTGCCAATGAGAGAAACAGCAAGCTTCTCTGAAAGCTATTATTTCCAACAGATGTCAACAAATTTTTAGATTTTCAGTCTTAAGTTCTCACCCTCTGCTCTGTTAGTCACTTAGCTACACCTTGAGATAATTCATCCAGAAGTGTACACACACAAAAATACAGTTTTTAGGAAGAAGTCATAAAGCAGTAAGAATAGGCAACTTTCCAGATTAGTACTGCTTTTTTTAACATAATACTAGCACAACTTTAGTACTATTAAGGGGCAACTCAGAAATATGAACAAATTCAAATCTCGCTTCACCATGTGAATTAGACTATGTCATGATTTCTACTGTAATTTATGATTTAGCATCCCGTTGAGTATATGCTACTGCATTACAGGCATTTCTGGAATGAGGACAAACCAGTGCCTTCCCAATTGCACACGAGTCTCCCAAATGTTTAAGTCAAAAACTTTTGTCACTTTTACAAGAATTACTATGAAACTTGACAACCAGTTAAACCAATCTGAGCAGAGACATCTAAAAGAGAACATGGACTCCGTTAACCCCTTTTCAGCTTGTGTTCTTAATAATTAGCATCTGAACAGAACCACAATGTCTTTAATTGCAGCATTCCCTAGATGGCTGAATCTGTAGAAAGTAAACCAACAGAATTAAAAGCCAGCAAATAAATTTCTTGTTCTGTAGATGCATTTTAAGAGATTTGACTAAATTATTTGGGCAGGACAACCTGAAATAATATTTTTGCCATCTTTGCACATAGCAAAATTAGTATTACATATGGTTTCGAGTCAAAGATTTGTATGGTGAAACTTGAAGAAGTGTTTTAGGGTACTCTTTGATCAGCAACTTTCAGGCATCTTCCTCTGCTATTTGCCTATTTCTGCAAACCCCTCCTGGAAAGTTCTTCACAACTACAGAGCAGCTATATTAGATGACTTCGAAAAAACATATATTAAATGCATAGACTCCTTGGACCTCTATAATCACCTAATAAAACACAGAACTCCTGTAATACTGCAGTGTATTAGTAGGCTTTGGAACACTTCTGAAAGAGGGGCTCAACTCCCCTCCAAAGCACTCTATGAAGACGAAAGGTTTTAATAATCCTTCTGTCTTTGCTTTTCTACATCCTCCTCTCACAGTTCATTCCCTTAATGTATTTTAACCTCTACCTGATTACCACCTCTCAACTCGTTCCCTTTTTCCACAACGGCCTTTGCACATGCAAAACTCTACTTTCTATTACCTATTTTTGTGTCCTTGCCCAGAGAGCTGGAGAGTTCCCACCCTCCAGCGACACATACGAGGAAAAACTCCCCTAAGCGTATGCTTTGTGCCTGGTTACCATTTACAGCCTAGGGTGCCAAATTTGAGGGGGAACACCACCGCACGCTGCTTCGGCGCCGCATGCACTCCCCCCAACACCAGGCTCGCCGGACACCGGGGACAAAAAGACAACTACCCGCCGGCGGCTGCCCTGCCCTTCCAGCCCTCCGTCCCTCCCTCCCTCCCCCCGGCTCTCCACGGGGCCCGACCGACTCCCGGCCGTCAGCCAAACGGGGCAGGGCCGGCTCGGCCCCGCGGCCGCAACACCCCACCGCCGCCTCGCACGGGGCGGGCCCTCCCCGCCCCCTCCCCACCGGCCCCGGCTCCAATTCACCGCAGGGCACCCCCGAGCACCGGGTAGGGCAGCCCTGACCGGGCGGCCAGGACGCCCCCCCCCCGCCGAGTTCCCGGGGTCAGCAGCGGCCGGAGCCGCCCTCTCCCCGCCGCGGCCCCCGCCGCGCATGCGCACCCCGCTCACCCGCCCGCGGCTCGCCATGGCGGCTGCGCCGGTGTGGGGGAGCGGGGAAGTGACGCCCGGACTCTCCGCGGCCTCCACGCCGCCGCGGTGCTGCCGGGTGCCACCTGCAATGCTGCCCCGCCGAGCGCGCCTCACCGTCGCTGTTGTTCCGGGGAGCCTTTCCCCCCTCCCCACTCCCCCGCCAGCCGCGGCTGGCGTGCGGCATGCTTCGGGGCGCTCCCCGCTCCGCCCTGCGCCCGCTCTCGGGCGGGCAACCGAGCCCCTGCGGCCTTCGCCCGGGCGGCGGGGCCGAGGCCGGCCGCTCGCCCCGCGCTGTGCCGAGGCCGGAGGGGGGACTGCGGCGGCGCGCCGCGGGGCGGCTCTGTGGGCAGCGACCCATCCCCCCACCCTCCGGCCCGGCTGCGCGTGGCGTAAAAAAAACCCAAAATGACCGTCTTTACCTGTTCTCTTCTAGACGGAAAGTCCCATCGTTTCCAGCGGATAATTGGAAAGCCATCAATCTGTGGCCAACACATTATTTTACACTGCAGCCTGTTCCCAGAAGCACTCGATTGTATTTAAGCTCCAACTCCTGTTTTTGTTTTGTTTTGTTTTATAATGCAGATACTGAGAATCAAGCATTATTTATCAGCACTGATCAACTGTTTCATATTCTGTTTGACTGCTTTTTCTCTTGGAGAGAATATTCTGACTGAGGCTAAAGAACAAAACAAACAATGGCCCTATTTTTCCGACTACTAAGGCACCTGGTAGACATGAATCCAGCCTATCTTTGGGAAAAAGGCATGGCTCCTTCGGTGACCTAAAGAGGAATTACAGGTTTCGACAACAGAGTTGCCTTTGATGGTAGACGTCAGGACCCCGACTGCACTGGTGTGTCTCCCCCCCGCATGACAGGCCCCCAGGGCCTGCGACACCGAAGCCCAGCCAAGCTCCAGCCCTGCCACAGCCTAAAGGGTGACCCAGCCTATGGGCAAACCAAGATCACAACGGTGGGTTCGCAGGTTTCTGTAATGTACCAGGACACGGAGGCACATCCTCTAAATTTCTCTACTTTATTACAGATTACCACAAAATAATCACCACTAGCAAGTGTGCCACCAGAAAAAAATCATCACTAGCAAGTGTACCTATGGTTGATAACACAAATACATTATCTATCTCAAGCTATTACAAATTGGAATTATAGAATCATTTAGGTTGGAAAAGACCTGTAAGATCATCGAGTCCAACTGCCCAATCTAACCGATCACTATCAGCCATCAATAACAGCAGCGATCAATTGTATAGCAACAATCAACATTATAGCACCAACCAATAACAGCAAAAAACAAGTACATACTTACTATTGCAGGTTGTTTCAAACTTAGCATTAGCGAAGCAGTTTATCAACAATATAACAGCAGATATATTATGGCAGATTACTTGCATGGATATGTAAGACCAGTACCAGGTAAATTAGCTTCAGAAGGGGCCAAATCATCCTGGAGTGGAGGATGCACTGGTCCCAGGGGAGGACCCAACCATTCCAGAGGTGGGAGGACAGACCAACCTGACCTCTGCAGTGGTCTTAGCAAACTACCATAAAGTAACAGAGTCTCACTTCAAAGATGATCCGTGGCACCGAGTCTGGAATCAGCCAGGCACCTCCAGTGGGAGTCCAAGATCTTGTAGAAAGTTTCTGCAGACAATTCAGCCTATTCAGGAAAGGAGAATTACATGCAGCGTGGGATGTTTTCAGAGAGAGAGGCTTCATTTTGAAAAAAAAATATCATTTTTATATCATAGAGACATAAGATGGAGTAGGACACCACCACTGTGAGCAGCCAAGGGGTGCTGTTATTTTCTGGTTTCCACTTGGAACAGCCAATAGATGCTGATGTTTGCTGTTCTTTCAGATCAGTTTTTGTTTTGCCAGACTGCTTTTCCTGCTCTTGCAGTTAGAACAGCCAATGGCAGTTACAAATTCTTACTTTCTCAGGGGTTTTCCCTCTTTTCCAGGCCTTTTTTCACCTTCTCAGATGAAAAGTTGCTGTTACAGCTCCTTGTTTCCGTGCCTGTCCACAGTATCTCAGGATGTCTCTGGTTTCTAGGTACCCAGCTGCACATAAAAGGGGCCAGCTACACTTTTCAAGGATGCTTCTGGTTCCCAGGCTCATAGCTCCCAGGCTGGCAGGCACTTTCTCTGTCCCTCTTCTTCAATAGACATTTCCCTCTGCTCAGTCATTTTCCTCTTCTAGCCAGGCCATCTTTTTGGCTGCTCACATCAAGTTCCCCACAGCCCTGCCTTGCCTTGCCTACAGCCTTGACTGACCAGCCCAGCCTCAGCCCGGCCATCCCAGGGCTGTGTCTGGTACTTTAAAGGTCGATTGCGATTCTTTAGAAACTAACCAAACAAACAAGCTTGTACTTAAATAACACATCATCCAGCATTAGCTAAAGGGAGCATCAGGCTTTTAAACGTAACTGCTTCGTTAGACCTCTAGCTTCAATATATAGTCTATTTCATTGCTTAATTGCAGTTACATTCAAAACTAATCAAAGTGTGAGAACACTACACTACTACTAAATATTTTTAATAATTCCAATTTCCTAAATGCACGTATTTTGGACTATGTGTTTCATGAACTTAATCTGTTAGCAGGAGAAATGATCCTTCTTCATAGATCTATTTGCAGGAATAATTCCTCCAGTTGTGAATCTATTAATTAAATCCTTTGAAAAGGCCTTGTTATATTCAAAATAATATAAAATATAAAATTTGACATTTACACAGTGAGACAAAACTGTATGTCAACCAGTATGTAACACGATAGTCAACTATACAGTGGGAAAAAAAAAAAAAAGCTTTTGCCTTTTCAGAGAAACTTCTTCAATTGTCTCTGTCTTCTCTCAGCATTAAAATATGCTTTCTAGATGGACTCCACGGCAGCCTGTGAAACTACTTAAAGTACACAAATACGTGCAAATGGATCCTGAATAAGTATTTGTATCTTAAACTGTTCCTGTCTAGTTAGCAGAATCAACTCTTCCATTCTTTCACAATGTATAATTCCTGAGAAAATAGGGGAATAAAATTATTCATGTCTTTGCTTAATAACCACGATTAGACAAGAGGAGAAAGCAAAGAATTTTTTCCCTGAAGTGCCAATTCCATCCTCATTTTAGCTGTCATACTCCAGTACTATCTGTGGGACATATACATGTCAAAATACTGTAATACAGTACTAACAGCTGAGGAACAGATCATCCCAGTGTTTAACTGTGCTTTGTCAGACCTTTCTTTAGGGTATTTGAAGATACATGATTGCAGTTATTACCAGACATGTGTGACAAATTCTGTTCATTTTGTAGTAAGTTCAGGTAATCGAATGTGGATCCATTTTAGGTTTAAACCACTTAGCAGTAGCTATTCCCTGCCTTCCTCCAGAATTACATTTCCTGAGAGATTTTTGTCATGAGGCAGATACATACAAATGTCTATATTAAAATCTTCCTGGACAAAGCTTGAGGGAAATCAGATGCAGCCTATTTTAACTGTGAAGATTAGAAAATTAAGCTTTGTTGTTACGCTTCCCCACCCCCCCCCACCCCACCCCACCCCCTTTCATTTCTCCTATTTCATGACCGGTGTCATGCATCTATAAAAAAATATTTAATAGCAGGTGAGTGGCTGTGTAATACTGTGCTGCCCTCCATTAATCTCTGCCTGGTGATACTGGTCTGTTTTACAGGCAGGAAATGGCTCAGATGTAGATGGGCCATGACACTAAAGTCCCCGTGATTTCCCCTGTGCAAGAGCCATCTCGGTTCTGGAAGCGCAGCACCTCAAACCAAACCCTATGTGTTTTACGCCTTTACCCTCCAAGCTCTGGGGTCAGTGCTGATGTTTATTTATAAATGCCCCCTCCCTACCATTTCGGGTCGCAACACCGCCCCCAACGACCTCATTAACCGGTCGCTTCACAGGGTTAAACCCTCCGCGGAACCTGCAGCAGCCGCCCCCCCACTTGTATGGATCCTTCCGCGCCTCCCTGGGCCCCATCGCGCCGGGTCAGCGAGAGCGGGCCAGCCGAGTGGGCGGGGGACAAGTGAAAAAGACAGGTGGCGCTACCAATGGCCCGGTGGGCGCGGCCCGCCGTGACCCCCGCCGACCCAATGAGCGCCGCGGGGGGGCGTGGTCGAAGGGGGGGGCGGTGCGGCAGCCAGGGGCACCGCGCCGCGCGCAGACGGCCGCCATGGCTGACGAGATTAGCAAGGCGCAGACCGCCCGTCCCGGCGGCGACACCATCTTTGGGAAGATCATCCGCAAGGAGATCCCCGCCAATATCATCTATGAGGACGAGCAGGTGCGGGCGGTGCGCGGCCGCCCCCCAGCTCGCAGCCGGCCGGGTCGGGGGGCGCTTTTGTGGCGCTCGGTGGGACGGCGCCTCCCCGCAGCGTCCCAAAAAACACCAGGCCGCTTCGGTGCGCGGCCCGGCATGTGCTCGGCCGCAGCCGCGCTGTGTCACCGGGCTGTGCGCGGAGGAGGGCCTCCGCCGGCATCGGCCGTGCGGCAGCCCAGCGGCGCCGCAGGCCGTGCGGGCTTTCCTTACGCGGGGGGCCGGGGTTCTCGCAGCTGGAGGAGCAGCGGGGTGGTCGTGAAAGCTGAGATGAGCGACCCGCAGGCAGGCTCCCTGTGGGCCCCGGAGGTGCGCATCT